CGGACGAACCCAGCTCAGACAATGCACGGCTAATATCAGGGCTGCTCCAAAGAGTGCCCAGTAAGTTTGTCATAGCGGTGGCCAGATCGGAGAGCCTGCACCAGCTCCACCAGCGTCTGTGCAGCGATCTCATCAAACTTGCATGGTTTTCGTGCACTTGTTTGCTGTAGTAGTAACGGTTCAATACTTCTCCCATTTTGGGATCATATGTATTCGTGTATATAGAATATTATAATAGAAATTATGCGTGTTCCTTGCGACTTGCGACTTGCAACTTGCGACTTGCAACTTGTGACTTGCGACTTCAGCAGTACTCAAGTAATAAGCGGGCGAAACTTCCAAATCGGTGTCTTCCCATGCCACCATCCAGTTGTGGTTTAGTAAGATATAACACAACCACTCATTAATTGGTCCTTGAACTCCAAAATCACACCTTCTGGCATTGGCCTAGGCCAATGCCAGAAGGTGTGATTTTGGAGTTCAAGGACCAATTAATGAGTGGTTGTGTTATATCTTACTAAACCACAACTGGATGGTGGCATGGGAAGACACCGATTTGGAAGTTTCGCCCGCTTATTACTTGAGTACTGCTGAAGTCGCAAGTCACAAGTTGCAAGTCGCAAGTTGCAAGTCGCAAGTCGCAAGGAACACGCATAATTTCTATTATAATATTCTATATACACGAATACATATGATCCCAAAATGGGAGAAGTATTGAACCGTTACTACTACAGCAAACAAGTGCACGAAAACCATGCAAGTTTGATGAGATCGCTGCACAGACGCTGGTGGAGCTGGTGCAGGCTCTCCGATCTGGCCACCGCTATGACAAACTTACTGGGCACTCTTTGGAGCAGCCCTGATATTAGCCGTGCATTGTCTGAGCTGGGTTCGTCCGCAAGAAGGTTTTTACCAGGGAATCAGTTCAGCTGGCATTCAGCTTGTGTGACAATATGTTCAAATGGCCCAGAAGCCTCCCACTCTGTAACAATTCATTTCAATCTCGTGAGCTTGTGCGTGCGCACATGTGTGTGTGTGTATGTGTGTGTATGTGTGTGTGTGTGTGTGTGTGTGTGTGTGTGTGTGTGTGTGTGTGTGTGTGTGTGTGTGTGTGTGTGTGTGTGTGTGTGTGTGTGTGCGTGTGTTGCAAGTATTTGACCGTGCCTGAAACTGGCCAGGGACTGCTGCCCAGCCCCAACAGAAAGACCACCTAAGCTCCTCCCGCAGACAGGAGAGGGGCATAAGGGGCCTCTGTCCCCTCCTAGGCAGCCGAGAGCCGCAGGTCCACTAGTTCCACTCTCCTCCCCCGGGGGTCAAGGCTCCATCACGCGAGTTTGAGCACTGAGCCTGAAACACACAAGAAGACTGGCTCTTGGGGTGAAGGTTCAAGAAGACCGAGGAAACCCGGAAACCCTGTACCTACCCCTCCCTATTAAGGCACCAGGCCCTAATAGAAAGCTCGGTCTCTCACCCGATTCTCTGATGCTTGCCCACAACTGACCAGGGGGAGCGGGCAGGGTTCATTGTTCGTGCTGAAATCCATAATGACCACCTGAAATTGCCATGCCCCAATGTTTGCATCAAATGCTTATATGTTTCCGGTTAGGCTGTTGGGAGTTAGAGATTAACCAACCTAATGGCCATGAGTGCACAGCGTGCACCTGCAGGCTTTGTGACTGCGGGGCGGTTGAAGACAAAATGCATGTCTTTGTGGAATGCCTGGCGTACATTAGTACACAGGCGAACGTGACCTCGTGTTTCAAGGGTGCAACATGCACACCATTATGGCTGAGGCCCCACCCCTGGCACTAGCCAGGTTCCTCTCGGAAGTCTGGGAGACCCGGCATGTTGCTCTAAGGCGCTCCGTGCTCAAGTGGACGAGGGTGGACGATGATGGTCCACCAAAAACCGCCCTAAAAACGATTTACCACCCATGGGCCCCCCAGCTCTTACGGACACCCCCACACTTGTATGGAACCCCCACACTTGTATGGAACTTGTGCGGACTAGGCTAGTTCCTATCAGTCCACCGCCGGGGCTAGGGATGCCTCGAAGCAGTGTGGTTGTTACAGTGGGCTCCAGACTCACAAAGAGTACAGCCAGCGGGCCAGCAGGCCGTGCACTGCACCTGATACAATGAGGGCAAACAAGACTCCCACCCAGACCAGACAACACAAGTCACCTAGACATCCAAAAGCAAATCCAAGGGCAGGCTCAGAACCCGCAACCACAGGGGAATTTGCAGTTAGACTCCCCGATTGGCGAAAGTCCTCGGAACCCCACCAGAAGGCCCATAAGTAAATACTGCTAAGAACTTGATGAGCTACATTAAGCAAATACTGATAAGAACTAGATGAGGCCTGAGTGAGCTTGTGTGTATGAACAGCTACATTTCATTGCTCAGACAGCTACATTGCACTGCTCAGACAGACGAAGCCACATAGGCCGCAAGCCACTTCAGCATAGTTACACCTGTGATCGGCCATAGCCCGCAGACGCGGACGCCGCAAATGCTATCTGTTTACACCCTACAGGCGTGGTTCACGTACATATTAGCGTATATAGAATTTCATATAGAAATTTTGTGTGTTCCTTGCGACTTGCGACTTGCAACTTGCAACTTTAGCAGTACCCGCAATTTGTTATGCAAGCAGTCACCTCGCACCCGCAATTTGTTATGCAACCAGCCATAAATAGCGGCGGATGCGGCCATCCCACGGAATGGCATACCGTTGATCCATGCTTCCAATCGATGATGGGGCTCCGCATCATCATCCCTTTTCAGGGACCAGCATCGTAGCCTGTGCTACGACCCCCACCCATACTTCTGCAAGTATGGACTTCCACCTGAGGCGGCGTTTACTTGTAGGCATCCATGACAGCGTCCCGCTCGCCGTCTGACCCAGAGGTCGGAGCCATAAAGATCTGACAGAAAAGCGGCAAAATAGGCAGTTGGAATTCAGTTAGTTCCAGCAAAACTTGTCCAGTAACCGCGCCAAGCGAGAAAGGAAAAATAAGACAGAAAAATGTATCAGTTTGGGCCCAGATTTAAGAAGCGGAATACAACAACTATCC